CAATTGGGGCACGTACGGGGCGGGATACACCTACTCGCGCCGAACATATACGAAGGCTTGGCGCGTATCCGTGATGGAGAGAACAGGGGCGGGGTAGATGCCTGTGGGTACATGCGGAAGACAGGCGCCCTCCTGTATCGGCGCACACCCAAACAATGTACATGGTCTGCACTGGGACGCATGCACAGTCACGGTGCACATCTGCATCACGGAGGAGCAGTCAAGTGAGTGGGAGCGAGAGGGCTCACAGGAGCTCCAGAGCAGTGGCGAGAGACGGGACTGGGTCGGCGGTGCGGGGCTGCGGCTGGCACGAGGAAGGAGACGTGCCTTACCGGACCCGATGCCGCGCACAGTGGCCACGTGACCGTGGCCGGCGCTGGCGATGTTGTCGGAGCTGGAGACGGAGCTGGCCAGGTTGGCGTTCCTGCGCAGGCCGGGCACCACCACTCCGGCCTGCAGCACAGCCGCTGGCCGAGCCCTACCAAACGAACACGGCACGCTCGTGAGTGCGCGGCGCTCAGCTCAGCAAAGACCGGAGCACTCAAACCCAGCCAGCCTCAGCAGGCGGAGGCGGACCAGCGGAAGTAAACTTGGTCAAAAAGTTTGTTGGGTTTGAGTGCCGCTGTCTGGTATTTGAGAGAGAGAGAGAGAGAGAGAGAGAGAGAGAGAGAGAGAGAGAGAGAGAGAGAGAGAGAGAGAGAGAGAGAGAGAGAGAGAGGGGGGGGGGGAGACGGTGCAGGTCAGTGAGAGTTGATACCAACATGCAGGGGTGGAGCCAGAATTTGTGACGGGAGCGATGCCACGACTTGGGAAAGGGTGTTTTTTACGAGCGGGTCCCAGCCCAAATGACAACCTACGCACTGCCAACGGACCAACAGATCCCGCAAAGGCTTGTACGTACAGCGCACAGCGTATCAATGAGCTATCGCTGCTGGTTTGCCCCGGCGTCCGTCGCTTCAGGTGCGTACCGTACCGTCGTTTCAGGTGCGTACCGTACACATTCGCTCGGTTATCCGCTAGACTTGTTACCAAATTGCGGCCGCTGTGCTCTGCATGTCGTCACCCAGGTATGAAGGTCAGACCAAGGTCAAAACCAACCTAATTTATTACCCTAGAGCTTGCTGTATGGGGGGAGTTTCTGGATCTCACTTCAAATGTATTGATAACAGGAACCGCATTATACATCTCCCATGAACTTTCACAGTTCAGAACAGGCCGCTGACATAAAATGACCCAGATCAACATTTTGTTTTTAGGAACACATTGCCTAGCGTAATCTTTGGTGCTTATTCAAATGGAAAACTCAAATCAGACTTGCATGATTTTGGTAACCATGACCTTCGAAAGGTCAGGCAAGACCAACGACCTTAAATGAGCATCGGTGACCTTTTGCGTAGAACAGGTATCCAGGTCTGGGGCACTTTGGACACCAACCTGGAGTTTGACCTTGTTTGATCTTATTTGACCCGAGGTTCAGGGTCTTGGCGCCTCAAAATTCGATGCAAGCGAGTTCACGTACAGGTCAACACACACTGTGAATTTGGTATCTCTAGCTCCCTTAGTTTCTGGGATCTCAGGAGCGGGGGAGGTCAATTGGCGCGCCCACACGAGCGAAGGGTATTCAGCCAGCCCCCCGGGCACGTGTTAATGCCACTGCCAGAGGCACCGTTTACCGTGGTGGATCCGACGATGCTGCCGCCGCCCCTGGTAGAGGCCACGTTGCTGGATTTAGTTAGTGTTATCACCTTCTGAGGAAAACCTGCCGGCAGCACAAAGTGCACCAGAAATGGTGGGGATGGTGACAACAGCATGGTATGCGATCGTCACATTTGTTACATGGCCAAGGGAAGCAAAAGATGTTAGTTGCATGCCCCGAGATAAAGGCGTCGGCACGCACTGTTGAGCGTATATGTGCGTGCAGCCCACAGGGCGATCAGCCAGGCCGTTTTGTGACGCCCTAATCTCGGGAATACCAACCCGCTGTCTAGCTTGGCGTAGCCTTTTGCGGACGGGGTTGAGAACATCTGTTGGGAACGGGTTTGACGATCTGCTTTGCGATGCACTCAGCGCTGTTCGAATGGAAAGGGCCTCTCGCCTGCGGCCGCTCAGTCGGCCTGCGGTGACCGCGCGCTCGGGCCGGGCCGGGCCAGATGGTCGGCCGTCTCACCGTGGACGCCGCCGGCGGCCAGCACCAGCAGGGTGACCAGCAGGGGGCGCATGATGCCAACTCAGGAGCTGACGGACGCTGTGTACGCGCCGCGCGCGCGCGCCGTCCTCTTTATACCGACAGATGTCTCGCAGAGTGACAGGGCAGTCTGAGGCGCGGGCGCCGTCCTCTTTATACCGACAGATGTCTCGCAAAGTGACAGGGCAGTCTGAGGCGCGCGCGCCGGCCGCCGGCCGCCTCGCAGCTGCCGCACAAACCGGCAAAACCGACGCGACGGAGGATTATAACTCGTAGCGAAAGGTCACCCAAATATTTGGAATGAATGATCACTCGTTGCATTTGGCTATATCACAAAGGTATGGTATTATCCATGTGACATGGTAATTGTCATACTGCGGTCTGCCACTGGCCACTGCATGTCGTCAAACTCATCCAGGGGCTTGACGACGGGAAGTGAGGTGATCGACACGGCCCGTGTGCCGCGCAGGTACACAGGTCTAACGGCCCTTGTCACATGACAAAATGGCCGCATTGTCTATCGACAAAAGACTTTCAGATAATGGAAAGCGGTTGGGTCCAAGAAAAAATAGAATTCTACTTTGGACTTAGCTTCCCAAGTCTATCAGAATCCAGCCTTGATCAGCCTCGTCAGCTGACAGGACCAATCGTTTGGCCTGTCCAGCCGAAGCACCGTGGTCCAGTCCACGGTTCGACCACTCTACGGTTCTTCTAAACTGAGCGGCTTAACATTTTACTTCAAGCCGTGGCCAATACCAGAGCGTGATGTGTCCCTGCGGACCAATCGGGTGTCACCACAACTTATTACGTCGGCGCTGGGAATCATCCTTGTGCTTAATGACCGCAGATACTGCGGCGATGTTTTCATCTGCTGCTGCTGGACTGCTTAGGACTAAAGTTATTCATGCACCAATAGCTTGAACAGCTTAGGACTAACGCTATTCATCTAGCAATATCAACATTGGCCCGATTCAAGAATCCGAGATCAGTTGTGAAGGATACTACCTGGAAGCGCACGACACATCGAGCAAACATCCCCTGTGTCTTAGCCCTCGGGCAATAATCCCCCCAACTTGTGATCCAGTATTTTTCACTTTCTCTGTCGAGAGTCATGCAGCACTGTTTGTGTTGCATGGCTATCGATGCCAAGTTCCCATATTGTTTCATGTAGAAACGCATCAGGCCTTCGCGTATATGTATTGGACACAGATTTATTACACGTATAATACTCTATTAGTATTACTGTCCGGGCTACGAGTCCCTATCCCGGGACTCGTACCAGGGCCGCTGGTTTGCAAGTCAAGCATCCTTTCCCCAGATGGCGGAAGCGGGGCTTAGGACAGAAGGCACGATAGAACATTGCTACTTGGTTCAAGGCTTCCGATGGTGCCCACTCTATAACATCACCTGCTGTTTGGCATCAAATGTCATTTCGCGCCGGTGCGAAATCCACATCGAAAATTGAAGCCAACCGCCAGTTACTGCACGGATTCATAATGGCATGCGATATCTTAATTCGATGTAATTTAAAAGTTGTGTATTTGATCAACAGCCAAACCTATTGATCCAAGCCATAGACTCAGTTAAGTGCCCACAACTTTAAATTTGATTTAGTGAAAAGCCCGAATAGGCCATTCATCTCCATCACCACGCAGCACAGCATGGCTGACCAATTTGGCATCTACATAAGCTGTCAGGCTATGGCCACGTCCTTTCGCTCACCTTATTTGACTTGATTCCGATATTTGCACCGCACAGCTATGGCTTCGACTCGCCCGACAATATCACAGGAAGCAGTCTCATCCTGGCTCATCGAAGGTGTGGATTGATTTCGGAGTTGATTGCGACTCTCGCCGAAATTAGCCACATCTGCCATGCTGCTTCAACGAAGTCATGGAATTTATACCAAGGGACTGAATTTTTCAACCACGGTTAGCTTAATCCTGACATCGATTTCGGCGGAAGGACCCATCCAGCGACTAGCGTGCGGTGGCTTTCACTATCGCACTCAACGATCCCGCAAAGTTAGATTGGCGATAACAGTTTCCAGACGTTGGGTGCGTTCGGCAGACGGAAATTTTTTCGACGCATAGTTATCTCTCCGATAATCATCCACAGAGACTGTCTATTTACATCGGCCGGCCCAGAAAATATTACACAGCTCGTTCCCACACCCGCCATACGTGGCCAACGGTCACAGCTGGGTATAACGGAAAAGATCCGTCGAACGGATGAAGAGAATCCGCTGCCGGTCGAGTACGCCGTACAAAATATCCGCTGGCCGTCGAGTACGCCGTACAAATATCCGCTGCCGGTCGAGTGCGCCGTACAACTATCCGCTGCCGGTCGAGTACGCCGTACAACTATCCGCTGGCCGTCGAGTACGCCATACAAATATCCGTTGGCAGATTAACAATCCCCTGGCGGGACCCGAAAGCTGGCGACGTGCGGTCCCTCTTCCAAGCATTTGGAGTTCAAGTTTCAGGCCGGTGAAGCACGTGACCTACTGCGAACGAGAACGGCTCTGACGGCGGGGTCGCCGGCCGCGTCGAGCTGCTGGCGTCGGACGCGGACCGCCGGCGCCCGCCGACTCGACAGCTGACACGACTTCACAACAGAGCCATCAAACCGTCGCGTTGCCGTGTTTCGCTCCGATCCACGACGGCCGCCCTAGTCGCGGGAGCGCTAAAGCCCGGCCTGTCAGCTTCCCGGCGAGCCCCGGCTGTTACACAAAGCACCAGGGGAGGCGCGCTGCTGCGTAGGTGGCAAAACAACAGCCAGCTCATGCCTGCTGCGTAGGTGGCAAAACAACAGCCAGCTCATACCTGTATTTCAAAACAACAACAATCCTAATGAACGACGCTGACAACGGCTGGACAAATGCTTTGACACCGAGGTGAGGTAAAAACGTACAAATGTTCTGAGACACACGTCAGATCCACGTTTAAAACACCTGCGGCCTCGAAAACAAGAGCCCAAGAACCATTCTCCTTTCCTTTTCCTAGACGATCTTGGCGACGAAGTGTCGAAGACCGACGTGAAAACACACAAACACGCAAATACCTCAGGCCTATGCACATTGCACTTGGTGAGCATACCGATCAGCACGCCGTTCAAAGCGATGGGGTCACACATAGTCAACGGCACAGCAGCGGTTCGGCGCATCCCATCAGCGGAGGAGGACGGCCGGCCCGAGTCCGACGTCACCATCAAAGCGCGTCCTCAGAGACTCTGGCCCGTGCGATGACAGCCACCGCCGCGCGGGCGCCGCCCCCTCCCGCCCGGCACGCGTCGCGACCGGTACGCAGCGCGGCGCCCCGCCCGCTCCGCCCACCCCCGACGGCCGTCCTGACCGCCGCGCACCGCTGACGGACTACTGAGGCCCGCCAGCCGGGCCGGCTCACGTGTAGCCCAGCAGACCGGAGCCCACCACCGAGCTGGTGAACATGACGAAGCTGGTCCACCACGTCAGGTAGCCAAGCAGACCGCGGTAGAAGCCGGGCGTGAACACCTGCCGAGCAGCGCCAGTGCGGGTCACCCAAGGGTCGCTGGAGCCAATGCGTGTTTCGTAGCACCTGAGGTCACCACAGTCAAGAGTAGCATGCGTGCTCCGGAACGCCCGGCTCACACCCGAGCGGTCCGCCAAATATGGTCCGGAGCCTTCGGAATATTAAAAAAACAACGCAAATACAAAGCGTGCTGGGGAAACACTGCGTACCACGCGGCTGGAAAGAACCGGACCAGTTCCTAAACACATGGGTCATACAGGAGTCACCAACGACATAGAAGCCTCTGACCACTGGGTTCACAAACAAACCATCAGTGACACGGGTGTCCAGCAACGGCGAGAGCGCGGTTTCGTCAGTCACAGACATGTTCCTCAACACCAGGGTCACACACGAATCACCGGGGTCATACACGTCCCCTGCAACAATTGGAGTCGCCATACACACATGCCATCGGTCCTTACATTCCGCAATACGGGTAAACACGACTGATCCCCGGTCCTGCCGAACAAAGGTGCCCGGCAGGACCGGGGCCACGCACCACTCACCAAAGTCACACATGAGCAGAGGTGATATGCAAGCCACCCAAACCGGGCCAGAACCAGCCGGGGTCAAACGCTTTCAGGAACACTGAGGTCGAACACATTCAGAACATCACGCAAACACCCCACAGGTGTCATTAGGCCTAAATCACACGTTCTTGGGCGAACGAAAATGTTATAGGAGCACTCAAAAGCAAATTGTTGAAATCCTCCTCCTCCCCAACAAATGAAAATAACAAATGAAAAGCATTTTTAGATACCTTCAGGCACTCATCATTCAGCTAACTGTGCAAATTACGAAAAAAGAACAACACAACAATGCTTCCAAGTCTAGTTTAATTGCCGTGAGGTAATGCCTTCATTTTAAGAAAAACAAATAACAATGACGTGTCACGAAATTCACCCAATACACATTACTGCTCGCTATAGCGGCAACTCGAGCCCACGGCTCTGAAATAGAAATCCAGATAACACCGTTGAGCTTACATAATGACAATCACTACCACAAATCCAAGCAGCGCCTGGAGCGTCGCTATCGATCAAAACCAAGTGCATGCACCGTCCTCCCCGGCTGACGCCTGCCGGGCCGGTCAGCGGCGCCCTCCAGCCGACAGCCCACCCGCTTGACGGCTGCCAGCGTGAACGTCACGTGCTGTGTGGCGGAGTCCAGCTCTGCCGTCGGCGCCGGCGGCGGCGGCGGGGCGGCTACCATGGCCGGCGCAGCCGTCGGGTCACCGACCCACGAGTAGCCCCCTGCAGCAAAGGCGCAGTACCGCTTGCAGGCCGCGCAGCTCAATAACTCAACCACCACACAACATATAACTCAGTTACTCAAGACATAATCCAATCTGATCATAATAACATATCATATAATATAAAAACAGCTTAACAACTAAAAACCTGAACGCCTCGCCGGTGATGCTCTTTATCTGCAGGTTTGTTTGGTAAGCCTGAGTTTGGCTGGTAAGCCTGAGTTTGGCTGGTAAGTCTGAGTGAAAACGATGCACATATGTACCTTGAAGAATTGCCGCTAGCACACGATGACGATGATGATGATTTGGGGATTTAGGGCGCATCGACTGCTGTAGGTCATGCAGCGCCCGCCGCTAGCACATGAATGACACGATGGGAAACCGGCTATTTGTGGCAATACTATCCCGTTTCTGCGGGATATATCCTGTATCTATGGCACTCGACTCACCGAGCGATTTGTACATGAGGGTGAAGTAGAGACTGAGGATGAGCGGCGTCACAAACTGGAGCGCAGCCACGCATACGTAGTAGTACACGCTGACAATCTGCAACACACAGGGGGGGGGGGGGGGGGATGGAGGCCAGCAGGGACACCGGTATACAGCCCAGGTTACAGACTACCTGACGCAGCAATACTCATTACGAATGTCGTTCACTGCCTATAGAGCACAGCGATATAATATTTGTGATACAGCGCCCGACCAGAGCAACTAACGGCGCACGTTGTCCCCCGATCCGGCGCGGCCGCCCCTCACACGCCAGCTGGTCGTGCGCGGCCCACCTTGCGCTGCAGCTCGGTGCTGCGGATCCGGCCGGCCTCGGTTCGGAGGCGTGCCAGTTTCTGCTGGCTGATGTCGAGGTAGGCCTGCAGGTGGCGCGGCATCAGCGCCAGGCGCACACACACCGTGGCCGCCAGCAACCAAAGGCGCAGGCTCTCGAACCAGGCGCCGCTCATCCTGCCCACAGACAGACTCCGTCTCGTATCCAGCCCCGCTCGTGCTGAAATCTCAGGGCCACCGAGGCAGTACCGAAGAAACGTGAAAGAGACATTCCACAGATCCCAGGGACGCTCTCCCGGCCGTCTAAAATTACTGAGATTGACATTAATAACATGGATTTATGGTCTGAAAACATTTTGACTGACATTTTTACATTTTGATAAGTTTTCTGAATGATGACTAGTTTCTGTAACCCGTAACCCGATGGAAACTGGTGGAACTGGTGGAACTGGCGGAAACTGGCGGAAACAGGCTCCGGGCTGAACGTGTGAAAACTGGTTATAGGAAGAAGCTTTTGGTGCTTAGGTCACGTTCCATCCATGCCAAGTGTTAATGGAGGTATGAAACAATGACGCCAGTCCAAGGGCCAAACCCAATCAACTGAGCGGCAGACAACTACGGGAGATGTAAAAAAGCAAATTTCTAAAAAAACAAAAACGTAAGCATCAGTCTTCCAGCAACAGTTAGGAACAGGAAATACTTATTTCTAATGTTCCGATAGGTTCAGAGGCTTCCGCCAGTTTTGCCTCGGGCCTGTGGGCCGACAAACCGGCTGCGTGCTAACGGTTTCGTGCAGTTGGCAAGAATGGATGCTATCTGCTTTGAACAGGTATTTTTCAGCAACGAAACCACCCACACCGCAATCAATATTTGGCAGTTTCGAAAATCTAATTTGAACTTGGAGAACCCAGGTGTGCGCACGTTCTTAATGAATCAATACAATGCATTTGTGTCCCATGTATACTTGGCAAAGAACGGCACAGTATAGAACAGACATTTCAACCGCTTCACCCGCTGCACCGCTGCAAGTTTAGAATCCAGTGGGTTTGTCAGCTGCGAGCATAAGCGTTCCGTTAAGGCCAGCGACCAAGGTGAACCGCGACAAGCCGGCTTTCCTGCCGTCCCTCTCTGGGCTGTGTTTGAATCAGATGAGAACAGTATCCGGACACTGGGCGCGGAGCACAGGCTCCACCGAAAAAGACCATCGGACACTTACAGCGGCGCGCCGGTGGAGGGCAGCGCCCGTTCGGCCAGGTACTCTCTGGAGAGCGGCCGCACCCAAGTCAGCACGTTGACGAGTGGCATGACGAAGCTGAGGTGGTACAAGAGCTGCAGCGGTCGGTTCTCCTGGCACAACCTGTCGGTTATCGAAAGAGCACTGCCAAACCAGGCCTCTGCTCTTCCGTCTCACTCATTCTATTTTCGCCTTCAATTCGTTGCTCTCTCGCTTTCTGCCCGTCACAATCACCAAGTTATGGCCCACTCCCCTTTTCTCTGTCATTCCGTGTCAATGTTGAAAAGCGTCCTTGAGTTCCTGCCTGGAGCGTCATTCACACCCACATTAATGCTGGCAACGGCTCCAAGCTCAAGGAGTCAGCTCTGCTTCAGACTCGTGTCGAGGGAAGTCTCCGACCTTTCTAAGCTGCTGACATTCTATTGACAGGATCACTGTTACGGTGGTTCAATATAAATGCCTCGTCCGCCTTTGTGTTTGTCTCTGTCGCGCCTTACTTCTAGGACAGACCTGACCTGCTTATTATTTTGTCCTTTAGCGGACCTCAGTCCAGAACGGCGCCCACACTTACCTCAGACAGTCCCTGTGCATGCGTGTGTAGCGCAGGCCTGGGAACATGAGGATAGCGCCCGCGAAGCCGGACCACGCCGCCAGCAGCAGGCGGAACGCGAACATGGACGCCGGCCCGCTGAAACGGAGCCGCCCGCCCGGTCCGACCCGGTCAGGCGGAGCGCACCCCGCACCCGGCCAACTCCGGCGAGGCTGAACACGGCCTGCACCTGTGCCGGTCCGACCCGGTCAGACGGACCGCACCCCGCACCCGGCCAACTCCGGCGAGGCTGAACACGGCCTCCACCTGTGCCGGTCCGACCCGGTTAGACGGACCGCACCCCGCACCCGGCCAACTCCGGCGAGGATGAACACGGCGTCCACCTGCGCGCGGTACGGCCGCCAGGTGCTGGCAGCGAGTCATCACAGCCAGCACACGCTTGGGCGCGGGCTCAAATCACGCGTGTGCCATACCGTACGATCGGACGAGACCGGCGAAGACAGGCCGCGCTGACGCGGTTTAGAGAAGCGTTTGGACATGCTGCTGCACAAGTCTCCTGGTTCGGTCGGCGACGTCGGGACTGCGATAGTGAACGTCAGCATCCCTCACAAAGGGAAACAAGGGGGGCGGCTACCTCAAGAGACACGAGAGGTGGCGCAACCACTTCGGCTGGGGAGTCCAAACTGCATACTCTATGGGGCCCCGATTTTGTTAACCTCCACTCCCGTCCGGAGGAACGCTCTTGCAGTGTCGCCTGTTGCAGCACTCCGCAGTTGGGCTGTACGGTGCTGTTTACCATACGTTATGCTGGCCCGCTGCGGGTGTGGTGCACCGGTAACATGTCTCGCAGATCACGATGTGAAGGGCCTGCACCCACCTGGAGCCCATCCCGTGCGCCTGCAGAAAGTGCGTGGCACTGTCATTAAAGCTGTCGTAGGCCTGCTCCAGCTCCAGCTCCAGCAGCTCGTCGCTGGTCACTAGGATCACCATGGAGACGACAAAGTAGGCGAGTCCGGAGACGGCGCAGATTTCCAGCTCACCAGAGCCGGCCGTCGAGCGGAAGAACATGGCCGTCAGTCGTGACAGAATCTTTCTGCGACGGTCGGTCAAGGAGAACCAACCGGACACAAGCCTCGTCCAACCGACGCCGGTTTGACACCAGGCTCCCCCCCCCCCCCCCTCCGCCGCCCACGCCTGCTCAATGGTCTGATCTCCCACCGGACCCTGCATGGTGGTATATGGCTAGGCTATTGCGGCGGGGAGGGGGGGGGGGGCATTTTGTTGTTTATTGGTGTTTTAGGGTGCGTAGACAACAATGACCGTTTTGCGCCGAAAACGACATTTTTACTTGATTAGTGAGGAGTGAGAACGACCTGGTACTCCGTGTCTTTTACGAACGAGGAACGCTTTTTTGAGCCAAGAAAGGAGGAGTTGTCTATAAGCACACCGCTAATTGTCAGAAACGTAGCCTGTGGTTCGAAAAGAAGTCAACGTTCTTTGACAAAGTCAGACTCTGCTACAACAACTCTGCCGAATATGCAGAGTTGGTGAGTTTCGAACAAATGATCCCATCATCTGCAGAAAGCATCAGTGACCTAGCGCTGACCCGTCCGTTCAGACGCAGGGTCCCGCGTGAGGTCGGTCCGCCTCGAACCGGTCCAGCCACCGTTAGCGGAGAGCCGACCCGGCTGCGCTCCCCCACCCCTCTCGCGCTCGTCTGGGGCCGGTGGGGCAGGCGCCACGCTCCGGGCGCTGTCTGAGGTCGGCGCCACGCTCCGGACGCTGTCTGAGGTCGGCGCCACGCTCCGGGGGCTGTCTGGCAACACCGGGCGTTTCGCCGACCCAGGTACGTTGTATGTGCAAGTCTGGCAGGGCACAAAATTCAAAGCTTCCCAAAATCGAGCCACCAAAAAAGTAAGTAAGCTCAAAGGCATCCAAATCAGCGTAAAATGAGCACCGAACAGAGTGTTTCGCTCGGCAGAGACTGGTTAACAAAGGTGCCGGGTTGAGCAGGGTCTCGTGGACCGGCGACTCGACGGCAGAGAGGATACATGGCGAAGCCGGCGGCCATCAAGCACCAGAGTATGCTCAGGTTGACCTCGTCCTTGGGCGGCACCAGGTACGTGTAGGCCTGTAACAGATCGGAGAGCTGGCTTACCTGAAGCCCCGCCAATGGCCAGAGCAACAGCAGCCTGACAACAGTTGACCCAACCATCCAAGCTGCAGCACACTCGACACAGCACACCCTAGCAGCCACATGGCCCGCTTGAAATGCATTGGTACAACCACCCACAATCCACTTTTCGCAGCAACTTCGCAGGGACGACAAGGACGACAACGCCGTTCTCACGCCTAGCACTTCAGCTCTCGAGGCAAATCATAAATCGCCCTGCCGTCTTCGACTTCTCTTCATCGCTGTTTGCTTTCATTGTTACCTGGCCATTGCATGTGTTACTCAACGTTCTGCGAGGCGCCAATACTGTGCATTCACCTCGGTGATCGCATACACGAAGACCGTGCAGACGGCGAAATCCAACAGCCACTGGTACTCGGCATAGTAGTTAAAAGCGATGACCTCGAAGTGTTCCACCGGGGATGTCTCCAGCTGAAACAAGTGGTCACAAAATAGACGTCATGCCTGTTGTCATGTCAGCTCAATGCCTTTTTAGAGATTGAATGCACGGAAAACATAAGTGTTGAGCGTTATACGTAGCAGATAGCAACATCTCCACGTAATTCCTGTGCCAGGTTTCCTTTTGTCCTAACTGACTCAAGGCTATAACATATCACGTAATTTTCGTTTTAAAACACATCCTATAGCGAGCTAATAAAAGCACAATGAACCAGCAATGCTGCCAAACTTTGCGCCCTGGCGTTGTAGCGCCGTGACTCGAATACATCAGTGCAGGCACATCACGTTTCGGTGGCACAACTGCTGACAACGAAATATTGGTTTTTGGCGTAAAGACCCTCGTTCTTAAGATGATCAAGCTGCGGACATTTCTGGTGGGTCACATCCATTTCAGTTATGTTATGTGGCTTGTCCCATACTCAGTCGCGCGTGATGCTTACACAGACCACTTGAGAGTGTCTCACCTTTGGGGCATATTTAAAAAGATTGCCTATTGAAACCTCACGACCACTTATGTCTTATATCACTGTGAAGTGCCACTGTCGCACTGTCAACACAATCAGGATGTCAACTGTAATGATTGCGAATCAAAATTACACTGTCAACGCTTTGTAACAGCACTACACTTTTTCCCTGCGGTTGTCGCGATCGCCGTCCTCATGACAACCACCGGGACACTTCTACTGGTGTGAATAAAAGAACGGTTGTGATTGGTCCAGCGGGCAGCAAGGGCTTGCTACCAAAAAGCGCATTGGTTGAAGCATGGACCCATGCTTCCCTATGGACCATGTAATACTCTCATAGCGAAAGCGAAAGTGCGCCTCGAAAAGGGTCACTGCGGTAGACGTCATGGGGAAGAAATGAAAGTCAAAGTATAACATATCGCTGAATACGCGGGATATTAGCTTCATGTTCGCATATATATATATATATATATATATATATATATATATATATATATGTATGTATATATTTTTGTCTACACAGTGTTTCAACCCTCCGTAACATCTATTACACACACCTTTTGACAAATCAGTGTGTTGTTAATATCACAGAACACACACGTTGGAAAAGTACGCCAAATGAAATGCTTTATTTTCACAGCGGTGGGCGGGGAGTTCAATGATATTCCTTCCGCAGGAGCGGCTATTTTAAATAGAAATTCTGAGCAATTTAGGATTTCGGGAAAACTAGTATTACTGAGCAAATCGTGGGGTCTGATCAAACAGTATGTCAAAAGTATTAAAAAGTGACACACTCCATTTCATGAGAACAATGTCCATAAGATGAAATGGCGATCAGCTATTCTCGAACACCTACACATATTTGCGATGAGCATGATACTGAGGAAGCCAATCTTTACATTGTGAGATGGCAGCTGTTGGTGAAATACCCCGGGCAGTTTGCACTAATCAACTAAAAGCACGACAAACAACTATGAGTATTTACTGACTTGCAGGCATGTTACCTCAAACGCCGCACTCTTCGGCACAAGAAAGCCACCGTCCTTGTTTTCGTCTTGCTTGCCTTTCTTTTTGCCGTTTTTCGCAACACCGGCGGCGTCCCTCAAGGTCTCGTCGGTTGGGTAGCGATATCTCCTCAGGCTGTGCGGATCCCAGTTAGCAGTCAATACAACCATACTCTGCCATGCTGAAGCCACAAAGCTCAACCATATTTGTATTCATGCCGGCAGCGCAGTTTAAATCAGATCCACCAGCGCACATAAGTCTACTTGGCATGGCGAGAAGTCACGGCGCCGCGGATAGAGCAGAAGAGGTGAACATTGACAAGGAGGCTTACCCACTGGAGCAGAGCAGCCACCTGGCCAGCGAATAGTACGGCCCGAGCTTCTGTAGCACACATGCCGCCACCATTGTGACGATCAGCTGAGTGCCAAACAATGCCTGAAATAAATACCAAATAATTGTTTTAAACACAGAGCGAATCATGTGTACTTGTCATCCATGTTCGAATCAACAACTGCACTGCTGTAATGACATTTATTTGCAATTGTTGGCAAAAGCATGTTATCCGAAAAATTGTTAGCGTCCAACATCTACACATTACGTCTGCAGTCGAAACTGCAACCGACAGTACTCCGCAAGGACCATCAAGGAAACATTAAGGAAACTCGTAAACAACATTGTTCTTACATGCTACAATTGCTAAGACAAAAACTCCCATATGCCTAGCACATATTCGTTGGCACATAAAATTGCATCAGTCTGTTTTCGTATCAAGGCATACACTTTCATCCAACCGCGATACGAAGGTGAAATTTCCACCAATCGTAAGTATGTATCGTGGCGTGTCGATGAAGGAAACTGGCAGGCCACACCGCAAAACGATTATCGGGTCGCGCTGGAACTTGCAGAATCTGACTGAGCAAAGCCTTTATGAAGTGTCACGCACGCAAGTTCTCGTTTCTATTTGAGGGGTGCCCTGGTATCCAACAACTGAGCTGGCGTCGAACGGAATCAATACTGAAGGTCTTTAACCCCGAAAGCTTTCCTCTAACTTTGCGACAGGGCTTCCTCAGCGCGTTACAGCAAACACGTGTGCAGATCCTAAAAAGATGCTAGCAGCCCGAATCCAGATCCTGTTATCACGGTCTCGAGTGGGACGGCCGCCGGCAGGTACGGCAGCGGAAGTGCTTAAGGACAGGTGAAGCCAGGGGGTGAAGTCGAACCATGCCCACCATTACATGTTAAGCTTTTAGTAAAAAATTCTGCCGTCGACCTGGATATTCCCATCGGGTGATGGGGCCTGGGTTCACACAACAACTGCATTTGGGGTGGGCACTGATCCCAGACATCCCTGTGAACAAGAAGTCTGGACTAAATAATGTCTCTTTAAAACTCATACAGTGCACCTTTCTTCAACTGCACTTTGGGTGCATCTTTCATCTTTTCCTGAGTTTCTGTGCACCTCTGTGACTTGCCTGTTGTTCAATTTTATTGAAACTGGTTTAAGATGTAGTGCATATAGGGTTGAGGCCTAATATCCTTTTTGCCTGGTGGCTGATGGCACTTTGCTGTTTAACTTGACAGTCACTGGGACCATTTATCACATACCAGTACAGGGACATTTTTAGCCAAAAGCTTGACCTCTACATGAAATGAACCAATTCTGCTGATTCACATGGCAACTGAATCCCTGACAATGTCCATGCAAGGGACTGCAGCTAGCTATTACCTACCATTTCCTTAAATTTGCATCTGATGCAACCAACAAATGGAAAGATTGATCCAATACACTAAATAACCACAAAGTAATATTCATGAAACAACAAGGGATGAGGGTGTTTGGCACCAGTAAATTTGTTATAGACATCTCTATCCTTGAAAGGCACGCATGCAAATGTATTGCCTATAACTCATTCAGAAGGACATCATTTGTAAGAACAGTGATGAATTATGCATATGTTAAAATCTTGAGAAGGCTTTCAAATATACTCACCATTTGATGATCTGCTTGCTGACACCTTACCAGGGGTCACATGCATATGACTGTAACACATAGGCACAGCACACATAATCAAAGGCATGTGATAATAATGATAATCATACAAATAGCAAGCACATGGTTGTGCATAATAAGATATCAGAGCACCTAAGCAATGACATACAATTTACAGACACACACACAACATATTGATTGATATAGATGACTGATGGTGCATCGATCCCTAAAAAGCACAATGCTGCCATGATTGAGAATCTTAAATGTTGGCACAAGCAGCAGTCCCAACACTTGCTGTGCATCCTTGGCCAGGATTCCCTTTTTGCTCATATGCATTGAGGGGAGGGCTCTGAAAAACATTGAGGGAGCTCAAGTCAGCATTGGTGATGCTCAGGCCCACCAAAAGTATACAAAATGACACTCCTACCCCAAACTATCTACCATGAAGTTCATGCCCCCCACCCCTAGGCCTGAATACATAGCAAAACCTGGGTATGAATTTGGGCTCCCCATACTCATTCAAAATTCAACTATATTTATATATCCCTTCAATTAAACAGTTTTGTGGAACAGCCTGTGTCCTTGCAGCTCCAGCACACACCAGCTAGTGGCACAACTAGTCCATATAAAAATATACCACAGCCAGGAACATTTTCTGGCTTTCATGAAGGTGGGGCCACATCCCAAAGTTTTCACTGGAAGCCAGGTTAACCTAGCACAAGATGTAAGAAATTTGTTGCATTACATATAGCTAACAGGCATTCTAGATTTAGGGATTTTTAAGTACTTACCCAATTTTTTTGCTGTTGAAATTTAGTTGGGAACATACTAATCCATATAAAAAATGAAGGGACTTGTGCCCTAGGGGGAGGGAGGGGGGAGGTCTGCTTTGAATGTACACACATGGTTAGGCCAGTCTACAAACCTTGGCAACCATGCTATCAAGGTATTTGATGCACACAGAAGCATGCCCCAAATAGGACCCAAACTTTGCCATTAAGGTCAATTTTCATTAGCCTTATTTACCACCAAAACTTGGTTTACTATCCAATTCAACCATGTTGTACTCTGGCCATAAAAATCAGGGCACATGGCCATGCCCTCTGTGCCCCATTTCAACAGTTCATGCCACCAAAATTAAAATGACCTTCTCCAAATGGATGATTGTGCTCAACCCCTGCTCTAACAAGGCCTCATAAAATCTGTCATGGCTTGCAGACCAGTGATAATACACAAAATGCCTGCACAATAACCAGCAAATGAGTGTAACATGGACATCATCAATAGCACTGACAAATATTTTTCATATGGCTGGTAGGTACAGAATTAGATGGTAAAATATTTTTCGTCATCATGTCAATACCAAATAGCCGACAAATAGCAGGGGAATACTCAGATGCAAACCAATCTACAAAATCCTCTGAGACTCGGCCACAGTTTCGGAACCACCCAATACAACTTATGGCAAATAAAAACAGTCCAGTGCAAGCAGTTTGCTTCTGTGGTTTTCGGGTGTAATTATTACAAGTACCTAGCAATGGGGCACCGATGTCACCAACACAACGCGAACTATTCGACCTTGCCACATACACCGCCTCGGCTTACCCCGAGCATGCGCCACTTCCACGCCTTTAGTCCCTCGTCTTCGCCTACTGTTATCCGGGTGCAGAATCTGGGATTAAACGACAGACATATTTGCCAAACACGCTTAGTCTGGTTTTCCCAGTCGCATGTTAGCCTTCTCCAAGCCATTAGATATTGTAAAGCAATTATGGGGTGACAATAAGGTGACCCAACCTATACATAAACACTTAAAAACTTAAATGACAAATATTGCGCGTGCAAAAGTGAGCAACTCAGTTGCGAATGTCGAGAAAAGTGCGGTATTTGATAGACCGTATTTGATTGTAAGTTGCAGCTGCGAAAATGGTGACATGTCGGACGACATGATCAACAACTTTCACGAACTTCAAAACCGTTGCTTGCATACAACGCCGTACTCAAAACGCTGCGGCACGATCATTACAATCCCTCGTCATGCGATACGGCACGGTTGATCCTCTCACGCAACTCTAGGAACTTATGGTAGCTTAGGGGCGAATCGAATTCGGCAATTATAAGTTAATTCCGAGAACCTATCCGTAGACTGCACATGAAACTTCGATCATCGGATGCGGTAGCCGATTCTCTTTTCCAGTTACAAAATGGTGAACGTATGCCAGGTCAAAATTGTGAACTCGTCCGAAAACCCAAATCTTGACTTCCACACAACAGAGTTCTCTTTTATTCTCAACCAGATCATGATGTAATTGGTGGGGACGTTCGATTTGTAATGATGCTGATGATGGTGGTGCTTGATGAGACGATGAGCACGATGACACTATGAAGTACGACTGCCCCGCCGCATTCTGCTACGAAATAACCAGTAAGAACGTCCACATGTCACCGAAGTCACTTAGGCCCACTTGGAGTCCTAGGTATCCTCTATCACCAACGACTGGATCAGCATGGCTGTTTCGCCGTATACTTGACGGTTCTTGCATTTAACGCGTACATGTGTCGCCTCTTCCGTTGTGCGGATTTACATCGAAATTTTTTGCGACAGCAAAAATTTAAATGCAGTACGCACGGATACTTAACGCTCGACAGCAACTGGAAAGTCTTTAAAAAACCGATTGCAGTGTCACTGTACTGGTCTAATTGTTACTGGGCCAAAACAATGAATAATTGTACAATAAATCCTACCTATTACGGCGGGGAAATCATCACTTATCCGCACCTTTCAAAAAAGAAATAGTATTTGGTACGGCAAGACGCCTTTGATGCTTCTAATTTCCATACGTAATCCTAATCGCATGGAGTTGTGTGGCTACTTACAGTCGGATGTACGAATGATACTGCCGTAACAAACCACTAGACGCATTGAGAAACTCATTCGCTAAGAAAAGATTTTTTTGTAAACCAGTCCCTCCTATCTGAGCATCGTTGACACGCGAGGCATTATTAAATCAAACTCGTGGTCCAACCCTCACAAACAACTGAAATCTGGAACCCCAGCGCGATTAAACCACGCATACCACAGCCAAGAACAACACCAAGTCAGTCCCAGCAGCTGACAACGTCAGTACTTTGGGGGCACAAACGCGGAGAGATAGTGATTAGGAGCCAGCTCGTGCTTGAGCCGCGCGGACGAGGCGGGCGGGTGGCGCTGCTCTCGGGCGCGTGCCGCCGCCTCCCCCGCCGTCAGACTGTGCACCCTGCGGCAGTGTTTGGCGACGATCGCCGCAGTCTTCAGAGGCTTAAGACACAGCGGACACTCGTGCGGGCGCTGATCCGAGTGCTTGCTCATGTGACTGTTGAGCTTGCCCTTTGTGACGAACCCGGCGCCGCAGCGTTCACAGACATACGGACGCTCGCCCGTGTGGCTGCGCAGGTGAATGGCCAGGTTGTAGCGCTCCTTGAAGCCCTTCTGGCAGGTGCCGCACACGTGCGGCCGTGCGCTCGAGTGTACCCGCTGCTTGTGCAGGCGCAAGTTGGCCGAGCAGCGGGTGGCGTGGCCGCACACGTCGCACTGGTACGGCCGCTCGTCCGCGTGGATCCGCGCGTGGATGTCGAGGTTGTTCTTCCAGCGGAAGCACTTGCCGCAGACGGAGCACTGGAAGCTGCGCTCGCGGTGCTGCATGCTGTGCTTGCGCAGCGCTGCGACCGAGCCGAGCACGGCCGGACAGGAGCGGCAGGCGTGCACGGCCGTCGCCAGCTGGTGCGTGCGCCTGTGCGCCGCCAGTCGCGCCTGCGTGACGAATGCCCCGCCGCACTCGCCGCAGACGAACTGTCGCTGACCCGAGTGGACGGCCGCGTGCGCGTCGCGGCCCTGGCGCGAGGTGTAGGCGCCTCCGCACGTGCAGGTGAAGGGCCGCTGCGGGTCGTGCGACCCGACGTGGCGCCCTAGCTCGGCCCCTGTCAGAGGCTGCCGCTGACAGAACGGACATTCGGCCGCGACAGCGGTCGCGCCGGGCGCCACTGCCGCCAACTGCGAGTAGTCGGAGCTCAGACATTTGTGCTGTGACAGCGCCCGAGCGTTCACGAACCTCCGCTGACAGTTAGAACACTGCTCCGACTTGTCGCGGTGACGGTTCATGTGCTTCTGCCAGTAGAACTTGATGCTGAACATTTTCTCGCATTGGGTACACTTCCAATTCGCCGATGGCTTGTGGATGGCGTCAATGTGACGATCAAGGGACTGCTTCCGTTTGAACACTTTATCACAATGACCACAATGAAAGCTCCCCGTCGAAGGCTGCACAGTGGTCTTCCCAGCCTCAGCTGGGCTTTGATAATCGGGTACACCTGAGCTGGTCCTGCTATCCACTGCAATAGCCGCCTTTTCCGTCTCAGCCTCGTCCCTGATCGCACCGCCACCGTCCGAGTCGTCAGGGTCGTCCGCGCTAGCCGCGTCCATGCTCTCGTATTCATCGCGGGCCAGTTCGGGCGCGTCGAGCCCCGAGTCCCGCTGACCGCCCTCGGACGAAGCCGCGTGCCACCGGCCAGCAGCGAGCGCCGCCAGCGTGCGGCGCACCTCCGGCTCGGTGTCGGCGCCGTGCGTGCGCAGGTGCGTCACATAGCGGTGTGGGCTAGCGAAGCGACGGCCGCAGGTCGGGCAACAGTGGCGGCGCAGACTCTCAGCAGCGCCGTGATGGATCAGCTTGTGCGCCACCAGCTTAGCCGACGTGTTGAAGGCGGCCGGGCAGCGGCGGCAGCGGCTCAGCAGCGCGCCCTGGTGCACCGCCAGCGCGTGGCGTCGCAGCGTCAGCCAGCTGGTGAACTGGCGACCGCATCTCGTGCAAGGCAGCTGACTGCCCTGCAGGTGAAAGGCCAGGTGGCTGGACAGCGCCGCCCTGTCCGCGACCGTCACCGGGCACATGGTGCATGGCAGCGCAGATTCGACAGGGCCCTGTGCGCCAGAAAACAACATTAATGGTGAACAATACAGCTCTCACGCTCATCTCGGATATGCATTGCAAGTCTGTGCAAGTAGTAGTAGCATATACATGCAGATGTACCAGCACAAAGTATGTTGCATGGAGGTTTGACACATGCGCAAATCGTCAAATCAATATTGAACTCATTTGTATGCATAAGTGACATTCAGCATCAGTTAGCTACCACAACATTGCAGTAAGTGTGCACTGGTTGTCAATATTAAGTACTTACCTGAAAGTCAGTTCTTGGTTGTAGCTCAACACATTTTTTCAGACCATTTTTGATGGTATTTACTATTGTCTGGTGGTAGTCCAATCTCTGAAAGAGTCCTACACAACTCTGGCAAGTTGTTTTTAGCCCCAGTGAGAGGCCTGAAAGCTCTTCAACAGTTGCTTGGGAGAAAGGGGCCAGATGGGGGACAGGGGTGGGATAATGTGGAATGGATCGACCACACACTGCACACTTTGGTGGTGAGAGCACAATGCAGTCTTGCTGTGAGAGGTGACTGAGAGCTCCAGGAGCTTCTTGACTCTTTGTTGGTATGCTTGAAGGAAGGCCATTTGCATCACTGGATACTGTGGACAATGGTATTGCTTGACCAATATTTAAAACAGGATATGGATCAGTTGCACCATTTGTCCACAGGTCAACAGTATTGGAAGTACTGGACATGTTGTAACCTGAAACATATATAAAGATTAAATAACATTGGAGACTGATCCTCAGTAACATATTCAGTCATAGTAACACACACACATATATATATATATATATATATATATATATATATATATATATATATATGTACATACATATATACATAACATAAATAATAATAACATAACATATTCAGTATGCATGGAACAAAAACCTTGGATCCCCATATCAACCAGTCCCTCTCAAGTAGTGCTTAAGTGTAAGGTGCTGATGTTAAATGCTACAGTTTTTTTTACTTGCTTAATTTTACACTGAAGCTTGATTCACTATCATCCAAACACATGTGCATTATATATATGTACATTATATATAATATAAATGTACATTTAGAGTATACTCATCACATATAAAACCATTCCAATGAGCTTAACTGCAAAACAGACATAGCATGCAATACTTCCCAAAGAGTGCAACTACCTTTTAAAACACATCTATTCCACACTAAACAACTAACACATCTAGGCCCCAAAGTATGTCCCAAAATTGAGGTGGCCCTGGGTCACAAAGGCTTCAAGCCCTTATAGAGGTGGGCCATCTTAAAGGCCATTTTTTATATTATGTTAAGTTACCAAATTGGCATCTTCATATAAGCACACTTGTTCTCATGGAATGTTTGACAGTCTAAATACAAGCACAACCATGTCATGGTTATTTCATGTATTTTCATCATGTGTCCTTGGATAGTCATATCAATTTGTGCATAGTTGATACACTATCTTTGGGACTTCAAGCACAGAAAACTGTTTAAGAAATCTGTCTGACTTTGATTGCAACTGATCTTGCAGCAGACATGTGCTTGATTACTCTCCAGTACAACCAATTCTACCTTGACTCACAGAGCAGAGCTGATTCTGACTATGGCTCTTGAGGACAATTTCAGATAATAGAACAATCCAGACTACCACAAGACAATTTAGCTTGATTTGAATCCAGCCCTAGCACATACCACTCAACTCTCCAGTGGTAATCCTGGTGGTGATCCTAGCAGCAACAATTTAGGTATGCCAAATCATTCTAGGCATTGCCCAAAATGACTTTACTTACCACATACATCATTGCACCAGTAAAAGTTGACTCCACACCATCCAATTTCAAGGAAACTTTTCCATTGTAACTTAACAAAAGTTTGGTTCAAAGTACGGCCAGACCATGGTGATGTTGAAAAGTATTTAACACATGAGCTGTGTCAAGAGTCACCATGAGCTGGCTTAGTCAGTGACTAACTCACCCCTGTACACTGCTGGTAATTACAATAAGTATTGCTGCATTTGCATGCATAACTTAGCACAGAATCAGCACCTGCATGGCAGGTGATGTACAAGTTGTTTGCCTGCACCTGTGAAGGTGTCGCTTATTGTAGTTATCCACAGCGAAACAGAGTGAATTTCTACATATAAGTATATGTTCTGTTATCTCCCCTCCTTCTCAGCCTGCGATTAAATTTCCTACAAGACAAGCATGGTGCCGCCCACAACTCATCATTTTTTTGGACATAACCCACACAGGCTTCATACTTCCTCTTAAGCACTAGCAGGGTTGAATAAAATCCTTTGCCTCAATATGCCACTAGCTATGCATTCATATGCTTATATGTGACTAAAACCACTTCATGTTGTTGGCCTTAGTCCACTTCCACACTACCCACGTGCACAAAATACGCACACCAACGGCGCGCACTTCGCGTGCTGGAAGGAAAGGGGGGAAGGGGGGGGGAGGGCGCCTGATGCTGGGAAATACGGAGGTGATAGAAACGTACTAAGGAATTAACCGAATCCTTGGCTTACGTATACTCGTTACTATAGTGCCTTGTAACTAAGAACTGCGCTAGGCAAGTTAACATCGCATTGTCCCATTAGTTTACGTTTGACTACTTCGTGCTTCGTGTTTAGTGGTGACCATTGACGTCATGAAAACAGACCAGCTGACTGCTTAGTGGTGTGTACTGGGCGTATTGTCTAGTCATTTCGCTCCCCGGCATCGCCATCGTCGTCGCCCGTTTCTGAGTGAGTTGTGGTGGCGCATGCCTTAGCTTAAATGTGGAATACTGGAAGGCTTACGTGGTACGTGCAGGTTTTGTAATGTGCTTGAATCACATTTTGAGTGGAAATGTCTGTTGGTACCAAAATAGTGGATTTCGGGCGATGCTGGGTCAGAGATGAAAATGCGAGGCCTGCACTCGTCATACGGACTCCCGCCAGGGAGAGCTTGTCTGAAGGGACAAAACGGTCAAAAAAAAAAAAACTCTAGACAATTCCATGCTCCGACCGAGCCTTTATAAGTGATCAACACTAAAGATGGTCAGGGTGTACTTTCCTACCTAACGTTAGAAAAAATCATTGTACACCATTCGTCGTGTTTAAGGCATGACATATCGTAAATAATCTCAAAACAGGTAGAATCATGCTCCTACCTTCGAATTTCAATAACTTCGATGGCGGGCCCCCGACCGCCGCGCGCACCGCACTGCCTGGACTCCCCAGCGCCGTTTCTGCGTTGCCGTTGCGTGAATACAATATTTCTGCGTACCAAGAACTGTACAAAATGTACGGGACCAAAGTAAACCATTCGTCATGTTTAAGGCAGGACATATCGTAAATAATCACAAAACAGGTAGATTAATGATCTTAGCTTCAATTTTTTATAATTACGATGGCGAGCTCCCGAGCGCCGCACACACACAGCACCCGCGACACCGGCGCCATTACTGCTCGGGTCACATTACTGCGAACCATAAAAATGTACCGGGACAAGGTAGCAAGAACCCATGAAATTTGATCCTCGACGCCAACGGGACCATGGGTTGCAGGGGGATTGGGTGGGGAATGTAAAGCAAAATGAGAACATGGCAGCTAAATAAAAGCTCACTATATGGCACCTATATATGGCATAGAACATGGATGCCAATGAGATGCTGGGTTGAAGGGGATATAGGGTGGGGAGGTTAGGTTAGGTTAGGTTAGGTTAGGTTAGGTTAGGTTAGGTTAGGTTAGGTTAGGTTAGGTTAGGTTAGGTTAGGTTAGGTTAGGTTAGGTTAGGTTAGGTTAGGTTAGTTAGGTTAGGTTAGGGTAGGGTAGGTCAGCTTAGCTAAGCTTAGGTTCTGGTCTATTCTCAGGTTAGGTTAGGTTAGGTTGGGTTAGGTTAGGTTAGGTTAGGTCAGGTCAGGTCAGGTCAGGTCAGGCTAGCTTAGCTTAGCTTAGGTTCTGGTCTATTCTCAGTTAGGTTAGGTTAGGTTAGGTTAGGTTAGGTTTGGCTAGTTTAGGATATGTTCTGGACTATTCTGGCCTGCGTGTTTCATAAATGTACCTAAACTCGATAAGAAGCGATTTTGGTTGCTTTATTATTGTTACCTTGGTCCCGTACATGTTTTATGGTTCTTGATAAGCAAAAATATTGTGCTTTCGCAACAACGCAGAAACGGCGCTTGGAAGTCGAGGCAGTGCGGTGCGGGGCGTGCGGCGCTCGGGAGCTCGCTATCGTATTTATTAAAATTCGAGGGTAGGAGCATGATTCTATCTGTTTTGAAATTATTTACGATATGTTCCGCCTTAAACACGACGAATGGTTTACCTTGGTCCCGTACATTTTGTACAGTTCTTGGTACGCAGAAATATTGTATTTACGCAACGGCAACGCAGAAACGGCGCTGGGGAGTCCGGGCGGTGCGGTGCGCGCGGCGCCCGCCCGCCATCGAAGTTATTGAAATTCGAAGGTAGGAGCATGATTCTACCTGTTTTGAGATTATTTACGATATGTGCCGCCTTGAACACGACGAATGGTGTGCAATGATTTTTTCTAACGTTAGGTAGGAAAGTACACCTGCACCCTAAAGATTCACCTTTCAGTGTTGCTTGGTCAGTTGTTTGGTCGATGCCACATCCCCTCCATCCCCTCCTCACATCCCCTATGCCCCCCCCCCCCTTGGGTCAAATGAAAAAAAGTTGAAATTGCTCACAAAAAATGTCCCCAAAATGGAAAAATCAGTTAAAGCCAAACCATGCTTCAAGCCCTTTGAACATTTTACCACGAAACCGTCGCCAGTTAATGTACCATCTTCAGTATCCTCTCCTCTCAAAAATATGATGACCTCTGGTCAAGTCAAAAGGTACAAAATATGCCTGAAACCACCAAATTTGGCGGTACACAACCACATGCTCCGAGCTTATGGTACCAATCCAAACAAAACATCCACCAATTGATGCGCAGAGGTCGATGACCTAGCTTGGTTGGCAAATGGTGACATTGGGTCGGCAAAGGTCACCAGAACTGTCTGAAACTGACCAAAACCATATTGTAGACCACCGCATGCTCCGAGGCTCGCTGTAGGAGTCGTTGGTGGATTTGGTTGCGGGATTATCCATAGAAGTCGTTTGAAAAATTCGGCACCGGGGTTACCCGCACCTCGCAGCCCAACTGGGGGACAGCACAACACTCCCTCAGGAAATGGTTACCGCCAGGGCTACCCCGGTGCTGTACGGTGCGAACGACGCCTCCCAGACGACTGGGTGCAACTGGGGAGACACATCCCCATCCTGACTGTGGTTCAGCGCTGTCGCCTCTTGAGCCCTCAAGCCGTAGCGCGCCCCATGTGGTATTCCATGTGGGACCCGCACAGAGCACCCAGCCGCAGCGCGGGCGGCAAGCCGTTAGATCCCTTTGGGACCCCACGGATCCCCGCGTCCCGGATTTCGTGGCCAAATTGGAGTGTTGGGTCACGCCGTGACCAACCCGCACAACCGCGCCCATCAGCCACCAGGATCCGATCAACCCGGGGACACTGGCGAAGTGGCGTGGCGACCCCGATAAAACCAGTATGAAGAGTGCTGCAAGGGCCGGGTGAGAAGCGCAGGCGGGGGGTGTCACAGGGAACATGTGCCTCCCCCAGGTTCCGAGGGGCCCGGAGGGCCCTCCGGAACTTTCTATTAAGGACCCGAAAGGCCACCCGGAAGTTCCGTTCAGGGGCCCCGGCTCGCAGGGCCGGGCACTCCAATGCCAGCCAGAGGGCCCTATGCGCTGATCAGGGGCCCACTTAGTCGATAACTGCCTGTATTTCGGCCAGACATCACCAGTAACGCACAGCCGGCTCCGTGGTGGCATGGGCCTAAGGGCCCATTTCCCAAGCAGGGGCAGAGCCAGAGCCAGCGATTTACATTGCTGAGGGCCCAACAACGCCTAACAGGGGCCCTGTGTTGTCAAGGGGACCCGAGTCGGCCAAAGACAGTGTTCGAGGAGGCCCGAAGAGCCTAGAGGGCCAACTGGGTCCGACGATCTAGGGCGCGATTGGAAGGTCTAAGGTCATGTGGGGCTGGTCGAAGTCTTGCTCAGGGGCCCCAGCCTGCGAAGGCGGGCCCTAAATATCGGTCGGAGGGCCCTTTGCGCCGATCGCGAACCCCCTGAGTCGATTTTATGTATATGTCGGTCAGGTACCTATATATCGGTCGGTCAGGTCCTATATGTCGGTCAGGTACCACCAGCGCCGCACATTCAGCTCCGTGTCGTTGCGGGTCTCCGTCGGGCCTATTTTCCAATGAGTTGTAAAGCCGGAGCGAGTGATTTCCACTGGTCGGGGGCTTTGTGTCTGGGGGCCACAGCACCTAACAGAGGGTCCTGTGCTCGCAAGGGCCCCGAGCCGACCAAGGGGAGTGTGGTGAGGCCCGAAGAGAGGCCCGGGCGGTCCAGCGGAACCGAAGATCAAAGGCCGGTTGGAGGGCGTAAGGGCCCGAAGGATTGACTGTTGGTTACATAGAGGATCAGCCCCTAGGCTCGTGACCTGAGGTATCAGTCAGAGGTCTTTTTGCACCGTTTGAAGAGCCCCTGAGACAATGCGGGTGTCTAGGTCGGTCAGAGGCCACGAACACCGAACAATCGGTTCTATCTTCGTCTGAGCCATTGAGATTCATTTCCCAGGCAGAAGCGGTACCGGGGTCCGCGATTTGCGATATTTGGGGTCCCTGACGCAATGCTCCTGTGTCTGGTAGGGACAACAGTGCCGAAGTCATTCAACAGTCCTGTGGCGGCCAGTGGTCCCGAGTCGGAGTGGTGTTCGGTGGGTGGGGGGGGGGGGGGGGGGGCGTTCCTCTATTTCGGCCAGAGATCACGAATGATGAACAGTCGGCTCCGTGCTTGTCTGACCTCAAGGCGCCCATTTCCCAAGCAGGGACAAGGCCGGACCGCGATTTACATTGTTCAGGGCTCCTGTATCGTTCAGTGGCCTTTTAGTGCCTAACAACATTTTAGTGGTATTCTGTGTCAACAAGGGGCCTCGAATTGGTCAGGGGAACATTTGCTCAACAGGGACGTGGGCGGGAGCACAAATGACAGGTGGTGTCTTGCGTTGGTTGGGGCCCTCGGATAATTGAAGGAAACGTTAAAACTTATGACGATGAAAAATGCGCCACTCATGCAAATGCATAAAACTTGTTCACTGTCTCCAAATTATGGTGAAGGAACCATGTTATTTTGAGGCGAAGTATTTTGAAGACAACATGGTAAAACGCACTAAAGTTGGCAGCTACCATCAAAATCAAACACGAGCTCCATTCCTAGCTTATTTACGGCTGACCGGGTGGTCGGCGTGATCAGCTGATCGCTGGTGACTGATATAGTGTTTTTGTTTTGACTGTTATGAAGCAGTACACACTAAATTAACATTCAAAATGTAATAAGATCGCGGTACGCAAATGCAGCAAGCATCACAAATTCAATAACGAACATAAATGTCATGCACGACGTCGGTGGCGAATAAAATTGCGTTTGACGATTATGCGTGAAAAGTCATCGGCGCATATCCGACTTATGTTTTAAGACTAAGGCGGCCAGGGAAACCGTCATTCTGTGATCTGGGACAGGTGTGCATGAAATAATTTAGCCAGGCCCGTTCACGCGAGCAGGCGAAATGCCCTGGCACCCGCAAGCACACGTGGAACTCACGGCAACGGAGTAAGATCATCCTGACTTCATCAGAAGAGCCCACGACCAATGCGGAGGGCCCCGGAGCGATCAAGAG